AGTAACAGTACATTTACTGTAATATTTAAGTCAAAACACTGTAGTAACAGTACATTTACTGTAATATTTAAGTCAAAACACTGTAGTAACAGTACATTTACTGTAATATTTAAGTCAAAACACTGTAGTAACAGTACATTTACTGTAATATTCAAGTCAAAACACTGTAGTAACAGTACATTCACCGTAATAATAAAGTTATAACACTGTGGTAACAGTACATTTATTGTAATATTTAAGTAATAACACAGTAGAAACAGTATATTCACTGTAATAATAAAGTTATAAAACAAGTAATAGTACATTCACTGTAATAATAAAGTTATAACACTAGTAATAGTACATTCACTGTAATAATAGTTATAACACTAGTAATAGTACATTCACTGTAATAAAAAAGTTATAACACTAGTAATAGTACATTCATTGTAATAATAAAGTTATAAAACAAGTAATAGTACATTCACTGTAATAATAAAGTTATAAAACAAGTAATAGTACATTCACTGTAATAATAAAGTTATAACACTAGTAATAGTACATTCACTGTAATAATAAAGTTATAACACTAGTAATAGTATATTTACTGTAATAATAAAGTTATAACACTAGTAATAGTACATTCACTGTAATAATAAAGTTATAAAAACAAGTAATAGTACATTCACTGTAATAATAAAATCCTAACACTGGTAATAAAGTGAACTCACAATAATAAAAAAGAAAAAACTGAAAAAGTCTATAATTTTTTTTCAGAAACGCTTAAGAAGTGTTGATCAAAATTATTTTAAATATTACAAAAAATGTGGATGACAGAAGGAGAGAAGGAGATGAGGACTGGACCAGGGGTTCTGGACGGGTTCTGGATCAGGACAATCCTGTTGTGTTTTCAGATCTAAAAGTGAAAGCTCGTGTGTGTCTTTGGACATCTGAAAGTTCTGATGGTAGTGAAGGTTACTACGAAAAATCAAAAACTTTCTGTCCTCCATTTTGTTCGTTTTACTCCGTATTTGATGATTTTTGTAGTTTTTTATGGAAAAACTACAAAAGCGCAGCGCGACGTGCTGACGTCACACACGCGTCACTGTGGAGGAATGTGCGGAAACTTCTGTGTACTTTTCTCCTTTTGCTTTCTGTCGAAGAAAAAGGCTCCAAGAGGCGTAAAAACTTCGGGTAAGCGTCTAAAGGTTCGGAGGTGAGGGTCCTGGGAGTGTGCGGGTCGGTGCGGGGTGGCTGCGGGTCGCAGACCGGGTCTGTGCGGTGCTTTTTTCCGGGCGAAGCGACTGGAAAGTTACAGGCAGTTTGGGTAAAATGGAGGCGGTGAGGTGGAGAAGAAGGCGCTGTCCGGGGCTGATCAGGACCATGGCTAACACTCCGGGACCCGCGACCCGGGGCCAGTTCTCAGAGCCAGGGAGGGATCCACCACCGAACTCAGTGGGGGTTTCTGCCGCCGAGCCTCACGGAGAAGTTCGGTCCACGAAACAAGTTTGGAGGAGTTGATAAAGCTGAACGGAGCTGAAATCTCAGCCGCAGCTGCGCGTCCTTTCCCGGTGAAACTAGAGCCGCGACYCGGGGTTAATTTAGGTCCTAAACAGAGTTTACATCCAGGTTTAAAATTATTTTTTCATCGGTTTGAACTCGTTTAAAGCTATTTTAAATAAAATAAAACTAATATAAAGAGTTTTTTATAGGTTTGAACAGGTTTAAATCAGTTTCAATGAAGRCCTGTTGAATGGTTCAATTAGTTTAAAACTAGTTGAAAGTGCCTTAGAGCGACTTTCATAACGTCATTTACACTGATTTGAGCATATTTTAACGCATTTAAACTATTTTACATAGGATTTAAGTACCTTAAGTCAGTTCAAAAGAGYTTAAATCTGTTTAAAACAAGTTTTACTCTGGTTTCAAGGTTTATGATTTTTTGTATAGTAAGTTGAAATCCATTTTAAACAAGTTTACATGGGTTTTAACAAGGTTAAATTTGTTTAAAGCTGGTTTAAATAATTTAAACTGAGATTAATGAGTGTTCAGCTTAATTTACATTTTTTAAATGGGTTTCAGTTGACTTTAAACCAGCTAAAAACAAGTTTAAATCTGTTTCAAATAAGTTTACATGGGTTTGAACAAGAATAAGTTGTTTTAAAGCAAGTTTTACCTTTTTTACATCAATTTGACTAAGCTGAAATCTCTTTAAAACAAGTTAGTAAAGTATACATATGTACATGTGTTATATGCCAAATCCACAACAGTCCCATATATAGTTACCTCCGCCAAGGGCGAGGTAATGTTTTCGGTCGTGTATGTCTGTCGTTCTGTCTGTGGACAACATTACTCAAAAACTTATGGACGGATTGTCATGACATTTTTACCACATGTGTGTACTGGGCCAAGGAACACACCTTTAAATTTTGGTGATGTTCCGGATCACGATGCGGATACAGGAATTATTTTTAACACTCTGAGATCGGCAAAGCTGTGATGCTTTCACAGGGCTTCTGTAAAAACAGTGAGCTGGATTGGACAGCACGGAGTTCAAACTTTATAAAAGTAATGTTAAAGTCACATTTAATGATGAATAATTTTTACCATAATATGCACATTTACAGAACGTTTTGTGACCAGGAAGTGTGTGACTGCTCCATGAAACC